AATCTGATCTAAATACTTTGCATGACTTGTTTACTTACAATAACAAAACATAAACATAATTTAATTTTTCCGTAAAACGGAAGACTACTTAGCACCATTTTTTAGTGGTTATTATTATTATTATATTCATATTCACTTGTAATATTCATGGACATGTTTGGTACAGGAATATTCTGGGTTTAATAGAAGTTAAGCTGAATTGAAAGCACTTGTGACATAATGTTGATTATCACAAAAAAAATTATTTTGATTTGTCCATTGTTTTCATTAAGTTGTTAAATTGGATATAACTTCACTGTCAACAACACACTGGAGCTGTTTACATAATCTGAATGAGAGGACATTTTCCATATAAAGCACATTAACTGCATGGCTGCATGGAATCTGATCTAAATACTTTGCATGACTTGTTTACTTACAATAACAAAACATAAACATAATTTAATTTTTCCGTAAAACTAAAGACTACTTAGCACCATTTTTTAGTGGTTATTATTATTATTATATTCATATTCACTTGTAATATTCATGGACATGTTTGGTACAGGAATATTCTGGGTTTAATAGAAGTTAAGCTGAACTGAAAGCACTTGTGACATAATGTTGATTATCACAAAAAAAAAAGATTTTGATTTGTCCATTGTTTTCATTAAGTTGTTAAATTGGATATAAATTCACACTGTCAAAAGGTTAATAAGAAAAATGCATATTGCTTATGTTTTTGAAACAGCAAGTATTTTGATGTTAATGAATTAGTCTCATTCTCTCATTTTTAAATAATATTAATGTATTTTTTTACATGACATCTTTAAAGTGAGCTTTAGAAGGAGCCAAAACAGAAAACAAAAACAAACAAATTTGACAAAAGTTTAGAATAATTCCGATTTTAAATGATTTTGAAAGAAGTCTCTTATCTCATTAAGACTGCATTTATTTGATCAAACTACAGTACAACATTAATATTGTGAAATATTATTTCAATACAATCCAAAGGAAATACTTTAGCCAATGTTTGTGTTGTAAACCCCTTCCTGTGTGAACGAACAAAACCGATAGAACGGCATTTCCCTTGTATGAAATGAACAACTGTGGCATTTGACGACTACAGATGGCCAGACTGCCTGGAACGGGCATCTGGCGGGACCTTGTGTCCTGACAGTGCTCCAGCCTATAAGGAGCTTACACGAATTCTCATGTTTCCATGGAGAGGTCCCTCCGACTTGTTAAATCATTAATTCAGCTCCCAATAAAATAGTAAAGCAAGAGGAACTAAAGTGAAAGGTTTTAAAATGGCCAAATAGCGCAAATACTGTGAAAAGGCCTGCTCACACTAAGGGCGGTAACTGTAATAATAACAATAAAGATAAGTCCCCCTGCAGTCACTAATTTTATCTCTTAAAACTCCTTTTTAATAGCAAAATTATAATTTTCCCCCATGAAAATATATTTTATCTTAAAATGGCTTGAATATAAACGCTTAACTCATTTAGTGTATTTGACCCTGGACCACAAAACCAGTCATAAGGGTACATTTTTCGAAATTGAGATTTATACATCATCTGAAAGCTGAATAAAGCTTTCCATTGATGTATGGTTTGTTTGTATAGGACAATATTTGGCTGAGATACAACTATTTGAAAATCGGAAATCTGAGGGTGCAAAAAAAAAAAAAAATACTGAGAAAATCACCTTTAAAGCTGTCCAAATGAAGTCCTTAGCAATGCATATTACTAATCAAAAATTAAGTTTTGATATATTTATGGTAGGAAACTTACAAAATATCTTCATGGAACATGATCTTTACTTAATATTCCAATGATTTTTGGCATAAAAGAAAAATGTAAATATAATTTTGCCCCATACAATGTATTTTTGGCTATTGCTACAAATATACTACTACTTATGACTGGTTTTGTGGTCCAGGGTCACATATACAATATGCAAATAAGCCCCAGCCCCCATTTAATCACATGAGCTCAGACTACCTGCTTCACTTCCAATCGGTTAACTGAAGTAGTAAACGCTACACAATGACAAGTGGCAACACTGGATTCATTTAACAATATATGTTTGAATCAGAAACTGATTCTAAAGTGGAGGAAGAGCAAATTATACAGGTTTGTTGATGTAGCAGAATCAATGCATTTTATGTATCACTGTAAATTATATCATTAGCGTTTGGTCTGAATACATTATCAATGTTGCACATCCATGTTTCTGTTCACTATCTCAGATAGCTCAGATATGAAAAGCAAGTTTACGGGATCGGTTCCATGTTAGTGACAGTAGGAAAGGGGCTGTTTCACACCACAGTTTTAAGGACAAAATACTCAGCGAGGGTGTTGTTGACTGATGAATTTGCACATGCTTTGACTTTAAGCATATTAATAAGACAAGACAGACATGTAAACAACATTAAAATCTTGATTTATCACCACATGGAATCTATAAAAATCATTCTAAATGTAAAAGAATAGCAGCAGAGGCCACATCACAACTATATTGATAATGGCACAGAGGAACAATACAGTTTTTTCCAGCTGATGAACTAAAACATTGACAGCCAGTCAGATTCCAACCTGCTTTAAAGGGGTCATATGATGCCCATTTTCCACAAGTTGATATGATTCTTTAGGGTCTTAATGAAAAGTCTGTAACATAGTTTGGTTAAAATTTCTCAATGGTAGTGTAAAAAACACCTTTTTGTAAAAGTGCATGTAGCATCCTATGACCCCTTTAAAGAGCTTGCGCATTTAAAGCGGCAGATGACAGAACTGCAGCACTGTTCTGCATTGTGTGTACACTAATATCGTTATAGTTATCTTTATAGTTACAGTTCTTGGTTTTAACGGGCCTAAACACTTATTGTTTTGACATTAGTCACTGTCGAATGTGCCATTTCAAATAAAGTTAAAGGGGTCATAGGATGCTACATGCACTTTTACAAGTTGTTTGAACTGAAATGTGTGTTGGCAGTGTGTGTACACAACCACCCTATAATGATAAAAATCCACCCGGTGTTTTTTTTTTTTATCTGGTTAAATGTTTTCCCCTTTCTCAAATCGAGCCGATCTCAGATGCCTGTCTGTGTGACATCACGATCTACCTAAATGCGTCTATGTTCGCACAAATCATTCATGATCCAGCCACATCTACAGAAGAAGTGAGTATAATGTTTTTAATGAATCTTTGCAAATAGCCTTTCCTAATAATGTGCTAATTAGCAAGTTTCACGATGAATGCGGCTAAAGTAAACAGTCTCTCTGAGAGCAGCTCGGAAGAGAGGGGCGGGGTCAGCAGAGCTCATTAACATTTAAAGGGAAATGCTACAAAAACGACTTGATCTGAAAAGAGCTGTTTTTAACGGTAAAAAAAGGTGTTTTTACACTACCATTGAGAAATTTTAACCAAACTATGTTACAGACTTTTTCTAAAGAATCATATCAACTTGTGGAAAATGGCCATCATATGACCCCTTTAAAGGTCTTGCTCATAGATTGATATTACATTACTAAGTCACAAAAAACAAACATCAGCTGTTCATCCAGACAGCGACAAATCTGCAACCTGTCCATACACGACTGTGTGAATCAAGAGGCGTCAACTAAATTGATTCGCAAACACCTCACCCACACACTCACCAGTAGGAGGGCTCTCACTCGCTTCCTTCTTCCTCTTTGAATACAAGCACAAAATCAAACCTCTTTTCCTCATTCAAGGGACTTTCTGAGTTTATGTGTCTCTTGGAATAAAAAGATGGATTTTGGATTGTATTTAGTAAGATATGTCACATATGATATGATTCATTAGGGGACATAGGCTACAGTAAATTTTATAATAGTATTTCATGATATAGAAGCATCATTAAGAACACATTGAAAATATATGGACTTAAGGTTATAAACTACAGATTATTTAGCTAAATTGATGACAATGTCAAAATCAAGATAGAGTGCATTGTTTAATTCCGGTTATCTTCTAATTACATAATTTGTCTTTAGTATAAATTGTCATGTCAGTGTAGGGATCTTATTTAAATAATTGCTAAAACATTGCTTGGTTGATGTCACACCACACAATGTTTGTTTTTGCATCTGTAAGGAGATGTATGCCTTCATATATGTATCATTTTTTTGTAGCTATGTATTTGTGGCTATTTTGGAAGGGTCATGATGCAAATGAAATCTCATGTAGCTCTATTCTGTAACTGAAAATGTATTCTAATTGGTTAAGACAAGGTTATTTATGTGTATGAAGAAAATAAAGAAATGTTTATGGATTCAAGCCTTATCCTTTCTTTAATTATAATACAGAAAGGAATGTGGCACAAATATAGCCTACGTGCCATATATCAAGGTTTTGGTTTTGTTTGCGTGTGCAGACCGATCGGTGTATGATATCAAAATACCTCGAGAGCATTTTGAAAGCATAAGGAACCGTCTGTATGGTATTTTGATAATCTATAGGCAATATAGAAATCCTGGCCAGGACGCGTCCTGGGAAAATGGCACATATGGTCACCCTAACAAATATAATCTGAAATATATAAAGCAAAGACCTTTTGAATGTTTTAAAATAGCGATGACTGGTTCTAGGTGTCAGCTTTTACTCCCGTGAATACTATTTCAGGGTGCCTTTATTTTTGAAACTCCATTAACCTTAGTCACACATTTCCACCATTATTGTCCAGGAGAAAAGATACAGCTCACTGAGATGACCTTTTGTGACAATAGCGGGGCATGATAATCTGTTAAACAATGGGAATCTGATATTATATATATAATATCAGATATATAATATATTTTTCTCATATCTGCTTCATAACAGTTTTGTTTCTTGTGACGTCATATTCCAGCGACAAATTCTTACACAAGGAAAAAAGCCGGTTGAGTTCCGACTTCATATAGGAAATGGGAAGGGGGTATTTGTAATTATTAATATAAAAGTTTATTTTATTTTATTTTATTTTTTTTTTTATTTCTTTTTTATTATAACCATGCTAAGCACATGAAGCCCTGAAGTTGCACACCCCGGTACAGTAGGTGGCGGTATGCACCTGAACAAGTTGGTTGCGACCCGCCAATAAAACCAGAGAGAGAGAGAGAGAGTTCCGACTTCCCGACGGTCACAGTCTCACCTCGTCGGGTACCGTTTATTAACAAAATGTATTACAAATTTAGTGGATTCACACAGAGACTGACGGGAGCTGTGTCATCCTCCGCCTACAGCCCGCAGGTATGTGCGCGCGATTCCGTTTCTAACCGCTAATTCAGTGCCGCCTGCTTCATGTGACCCATAGAGGGGGTTTAAACAGTCGTTAGATATATAAAATACGTTTCTCTAGCACTATATTAACCGATATGGTTAAGCAGGCTGAATATGGGGAGATTAATAATCAAAAGCGGAGAGTTGACTGTCCACACCGAAATCTCTACTTAGTGGATACAGTTACTTAGTTGAGCTACATTTAATTATATAACGTTAGATGTGCATGATTGTTCATAGGACCGTTGTTTAAACAGTTCATCAGTAAGTTTTAGTACTTCTAAATTCAGCATTGGTTGTACAGTCCTAAACCGATTTCACAACAAAAGGTAATAGTTAGGGACAATAGCGATAAATCAGTGTTAACTAGGGGGCCAGAGCCCCCTATGGGGACCTCAGCAAACTTCAATAGCGCCTCAAGGTGACTTAAAATGTTTTTAATTAAAATGTTAATTAAAAAAAGTGTGATTTCTAAACCTGGAAGAGTCATGTACATTTATAAAATATTAAAGCTACATGTATCATGATTATTTATTTTCTAGCTCTAATATGTCTGGTAGAAATTGATGATAAAAATATTTTACACAAATATCGATATTTAATATTTTTGTGGTCAGTAGGGGACCATGGGGTCAAAAAGGTTGAAAACAACTGTGATATATGGTGAACATTGTGTAGTCACAGTGAACAAAAATAAATATCAGGTTAACTTGCTTGTAAACTTTCTTCAGGGCTTGAGGTCAAATATACCGTCTGAATCCCCTACCATCTTCTTTGCCACCCCAACTAAACTGGTGTCTGAGTCAAATGCTCCAGTGGAGTATATGGGTGCCAACAAGGTTCCAGATCTCCAGAGGATATTTCAGGTGTGTATATGATGTATTAAGCTATGCAGCTTAGTTAAAGGGATATAAATGAAAATTGTCAGCATTTACTCATCCTTACATGATCATTCCAAACCTATATGACTTATTTTCTTCTATTGAACATAAAAGGAGATACTTTGAAGAATGTTAGTAACCAAACAGTTTCAGTTCCCATTGACTTCTGGTGTGTAGATTAAAAATACAAGGGAATTAAAGCGTAGGTAAGTTTTGGTTACCAACATTCTTCAGAATATAATCTTTTGTGTTGTGCAGAAGAAAATAAGTCACGCAAGTTTGGAATGTCATGAGGGTGAGTAAATAATGACAGAATTTTCAATTTTGGGTGAACTAATGAATTTGAATAAACAATGAATATGAAGCATACATTATAATTATTCCCTCTCTTTTCTCCTCAACTTGTTTTTTCCTCTTTTTTTCCATCCAGGCCTCCGAAGAGATTCCTGTTCATCTGAAACGAGGTATTTCAGACAGACTCTTGTACAGGACCACCATGGCACTGACAGTCGGGGGAGCTCTCTACTGTCTCGTAGCTCTTTATATAGCAGCACAGCCCAAAAACAAATGAACTGTACCCAGCCTATTTTCATCAAAACCACTAATGCAACTAAATAACCTTTATTTTCTAAGAGTGTAATAAATATGTGCAAAAAAAAAAATATATATATATATATATATATAACCTTAATAATTAGCTAAATAATACATTTAAATAGTTAAATTAAACTATTTTAAATATGTTGAGCCATTTTGGAGTTTACTGAGAACCCCTGGTTGAGAACCACTGTAGTCCTAACAAACATTAAACCCTTCACTCTCAGCCCCATTTATACCTCATCAGCACAGGATGATTTAAACCAGATGTGTGATGGCTGAGAGATAGTGATAATCATGTTTTGGTAATGACTGACAAATGTTGTGACGCTGAGAAGAGGATAAGAAAAAATAGGGTGAGATCTCTCACTTTTCAGTAGTGTTGATTGGAGTGTTTGTTACACACTTGGGCATGTTAAGTGTGCCTCTGGGAAGCCTGACTACGAGAAATCTATAGGAAGGGCTTTAACACTTGTAGAGGATGTGCAGAATATTTCGGAAATGTGGAACCATATTTTAAGGTCATTTCACAGTTTTGGATATATTTAATACACTTAAGGACATGAAATGCTGCTGTGCCTCTCATGCACCACTCTCCCAAGCAATGCATATGTGTAAAGTGAAACAAAAACTGTTTGTTTGTGAAATAGACATGAATTTCATTCATGTTTTGGCCCTCTGAGATGTACATATTTAATTTAAAAGAACCAAATTAAAGATCATGACCTTTTGACATCTGTGCTTCTTAAAGGGGACATATTATGCACAAATCACTTTTATAAGGTGTTTGAACACAGTCGTGTGGCTGCAGTGTGTGAAAACAACCAGGTAAAAATCCACCCACTCAATTTTTTATAATCCCAATAAATCAAAGTCTCTCAGATCAAGCGTTTCCAGATTTTTCCCCATAGATATGTATAGCTAGATGTACTATTAGCGGCATAAGCCGTCCACCATATTGCAATGTCTGTGAACCCTCGAGAGCAAGTTGCCAGTGCATCTGCACTGCAACTGTAGTTATACACATGACATGTATGAATATTTTGTAGTGAATTTGGCTTTTGCCAACCTAGGGAGGCGAAATACTGTAGTGATGGATACTCGCGTCACCAAGGACGTTATGATATTTGGATCACGTGTCACTTAAGGTGTGGTTATGAGTACATCACATAAGAAAAATTGGTGGGATCTCTAACTTGTAGAACCTCTTTCTGTATCATCAACACAAGGAAGACACAAGTGTAATAAAATAGATTTTATTAACAAAAGATAGACAAGAGTAATCAACAACTACTAAATGAATACCATAAATGAAATAGGAATAAAGTGCATAAGATGCATAAAATGCAAGTGATTATGTTGGGTGTTGCAATGTCAGAGCCAAGCTATCTGGAAAGACAAACTTGCTACTCTGAAAGAAATAAGGTGAAGAACCCTATAATGCATCAAACAAATACATGAAAGATTTGCTATAAACTGCAATCAGCCATATAATATCTCATGTAAATTAGAAAATTCATATACTGATTACATCTAACAATGCCAAAGTCTCTGGAAGAGGTTTGGATAAGTGATATTTATGTTCTCTGTGGTCGAATGAGTAATCCACTTCATCAGCAATCCACTGTTCTGGTAAAGAAACAAACTCATTTACATCTTGAATAACCTGAGGGTGAGTACATTTTCATCAAATTGTCAAATTTGGGTGAACCATTCCTTTAAGGTTTAATTGATTATATGCTCATTTAATTTCGTATCATCAGTCTGAATAGTGTGTACAGTATATAAGACCCCTCTTGAAAAGCTCAATGGATTTCCTGATCAGGCTGTTCACATGGTAACCAGGCTATAGGAGACACTGTACACAAAAGGACTTCCAGAAAATCCCTTTGAATCTGTCTCTTTTGTGGCCAAAGCACTGTAGAACTGCAAAGAAAGGATATTCTATTGATGCTATTTTTCCACATTTCTTTCTAGTCAGAGGTAATAACACAACATGAGGCTGACAGACTGTCTAACTGCACACTGGTGCTTGATAAGCTGTCAGGGCACAAAGCAAAGTGAAACAATCTATGACAATGAGAGGCTGTGATTCACCTGGCATCATCTCTGAGCCATTCTGCTTACTACCGAAGACTCTAGCAACTAAAATGATCGGCCTCACGGAGCATTTTAAAGAGGTCGGTAATCTCTTTGCCAAGTACGGCTGTTCTAGTAATAGCCTCGTGGTTAAGACTTTTTTCCAAGACAATCAATATTAATCTTTTGTTCTCTGGACCGGTGAAGTGTAAACACACATAGTCATGGCAACCTGAAGACTCTTTCCAGGGGCGCACAGATTTCCTTGAATGTGGTTCATTCTGTTTACATTATTCATCTCTCCATGACATGCATTTCATCTAAATGAATACACAAGCTGCTTTTGTTTGAGCATAAACATGACCGCTAGCAAATGTTGAGAGTAGTGATTGATTTGTGTCCATTACCTGTAATGGAGCCACTGCTCTTCTTTAATTCACTTGCTTCCCTTTCTCTTGATCTCTCTTGTTTGCCTAATTAGGCCTGAATAGATGAATGAAGAATGGATTTGATCCTCCACAGTATTTGTTTTGTATCTCTGTTCTGAATTTTAAAATTCAGATTTTTTCCCCCGTTAAATTATGTAAAGCGAGCCAGGAATTTAAAACAGTGTTCCAGGTGGTCACATGTCATTAATATTTAGATTTTACATTCTGGCCAGGTTGATTTGACTGCTGCATTGGATTCAGTAGTAAGTTAGCTGATAGTTTAGCTAGTTATATTGTAAACCAGTCATCATTTGCCTCAATGATAGTCTCAAGGTCTAAATACTCTTGAATTTTACAAACTCTTGACCTGTTTGTTTTGAACAAACTGCTGGATTTAACCAGTCAAAGATGAAGTGAACCCAGCTAACAGGGAATGTTCTCTGGCTAACGTTCTGGCAAGGTTCCCTCAAAGTCATAAACAAATGGCTTTCCAGTTGGCTAATGTAGCCCTACAAGAGTGATTACTGATAAACTGTCTGAAAAAAAAAGAAAGTCACATTTTAGAGAAGACAAAAAATCACCCACTGACTTTCAAAGCTGCTACATCATAACGACTTTCTACTTTGAGGACCTTGATAGAAATGTAGTGGAGTGAAAAGTACAATATTTGTCTTTCAAATGTAGTGAAGTTAAAGTCATAAGTTCCCAGAAAAAATTATACTCAAGTAAAGTACCAATACTCAAAAAGTGTACTTAAGTACAATACTTAAGTAAATGTACTTAGTTACTGTCCGCCTCTGATATTAACAGAACATTCTTTCAGAGTTATCTGGTCTTTAATAATGTTCTCAAAACCTTAGCACAAAAATTGTATTTATAGATTAAACCTGAACGTTCTGAATGCTCAGAGAACGCTTTCATAACTTTTAAATTCTGTAAATATAATTACTCACCCTCATGTCGTTCTAAACCTGTAAGACATTTTTTTCGGAACACAAATTAAGATATTTTTGATTGAAGACTGACACAAAAGAGAAGATATTGTTGAATAAAGTCATTATTTTTTGTTTTCTTTGCACACAAAAGATATTCTCATAGCTTCATAAAATTATGGTTGAACCACTGATGTCACATGGACTATTTTAATGATGTCCTTACTATCTTTCTGGGACTTTAATGTGGCAGTCCCATTGCTGTCTATGGAGGGTCAGAAAGCTCTTGGATTTCATCAAGAATATCTCAAATTTGTGTTCCGAAGATGAACGAAGGTCTTGCGGGTTTGTAACGACATGAGGGTGAGTAATTAATGACAGAATTTTCATTTTTGGGTGAACTGTCCCTTTAATGTGAATGTTGGCAATATGTTCTTAGAACATATTTATTAACAAGGAAGACATTCTTTATGACTCCTTCATGAATAAACAAAGTCCACAGGGAAAAATTAACAAGGGTAAAGCAGACATCATGGGGTGTGCAGTGGTGGGAACAGTGTGTGTGACTGGTGTAAGACCTCAGTCTGTGGAACCGACTGTGAGAGAGAGCTTGCGAGCAGTTGCTAATCTCCATCTGTAGCCCTGCTGCTCACTTGGCTATAGGCAAACCTCTCGCGCTTCTCTGGGAATAGTGTGTAGGTTATCTTTCACACGTGTCATTGGAGTTCACAGGGATCAGAAGGTTTTCTTAATAGCGCTTATACATTATTGACTTCTTGGCTACATCTAACTTTCTTAAAAAGAAAAAGAAAAAAAAGAGCGGATCAGTCAAGTAAATACATTGCATTAATGTAATTAAAAAAAAGACAAACAGATTCTTGCTAATTACAGACTTGTTTAGAGGAAGACATGAAAAGAGTTTGATGTTTAATTAGTCTTTCGTCTTATCAGTTTAATTTTCCTCTGCTTTTCACACACACACACACACACATTATATATATATATATATATATATATTAGTGCTGTCAAATGATTATCCAAAAATAAAAATATTTGTTTACATAATATATGTGTGTACTGTGTATATTTATTACGTATATATATAAATAGACACACATGCATGTATATAGTTAAGAAAAATATATGTTTATATATTAAATACATTTTTATATAAATTAAATTACATGAATATAAATATATACATGTAAATACATGTAGATATTTTCTAAATATATACTGAATGTGTGTGTATTTATATATACATAAATACACACAGCGCACGCACACATACAGTGGGGCAAAAAAGTATTTAGTCAGCCACCAATTGTGCAAGTTCTCCCACTTAAAAAGATGAGAGAGGCCTGTAATTTTCATCATAGGTATACCTCAACTATGAGAGACAAAGTGAGAAAAAAAATTCCAGAAAATCACATTGTAGGATTTTTAAAGAATTAATTGGTAAATTCCTCGGTAAAATAAGTATTTGGTCACCTACAAACAAGCAAGATTTCTGGCTCTCACAGACCTGTAACTTCTTCTTTAAGAGGCTCCTCTGACCTCCACTGGTTACCTGTATTAATGGCATCCGTTTGAATTCGTTATTAGTATA